AGTACGTTTTTACCATCATTGGAAGGAAACCCTCACCTTTAACAAATGCATTGTGAGAGATCTGGAAGGAAACTGCTTTCCCATCAGCATCACCACCAAGAAAGGACAGGTTGGAATTTTCACAATCGATGTTCAAAACATGACAGATTTTTATGGACTCAAAGATTTGCATGGCATTGTGTTCAACTACAAAAGGGGAGAACGCTTCGACAGTAGAATCTTCACATCTAATGACAAATAAATTCCTTATACCCCAAACTTACTTAATCAACAAGAAGCAAAACTAAGGTTATGTTGAAATTCCTACACTAGAATAAATAATGCACACTCTTGGACGTTCAAATTGACCAAAAGTGCAGTCAAGGGAAATCAACAAATTGTAATACTTTTTATTTTACCTTGTTTTATTATAAATTTTAAATACACTTATATACAATATAACTTATTTTGTGTTCATTGTCAATATTTTAGTACATCCATGTTAGCATTGTTGAGACACAGGAGATTAACAATTATACAAATTGTTTGTTAAAGAATGAGTCTGGAAATATATATAAAACTTTTGATATTGTCAAGAGGAAGAGGAAAAAAACATCTACATTTTAGTTCTACTTAACAACAACATGCACAAAGTTCTTCAAAGACAGGAAGACGACATGAATTTACAGGAGGTTGAGGACCTAAAATCTTTAGTAATCCAAGTCAAGAAGATAAATCATTAAGGCTATTTCATTATTTTACTACTGTTAAAAACTTTCATTTAAGTTATCTTATGAACATGCCCTATATCATTATTATTATTTAAGTTTCATATTTAGGGTTATTTAGCTTTTATTTATCTTGTCTTACCAACATTACATATATCATTATTACTGTTTAAGTTCCATATTTAACATAATTTTCAATGCGTTTTGATTGTCATTCTAAAATGCATGTTAAGTGTTGGAAAGTGCCAAAGGTCAGTAATGTTATTTGAAACCATTTTCCAAACATACACTTTATCTATGTCATTGAACTGTCTGATTCATATTACTATTAATTTTATAACCTAAAGTCCTCAACATTTCTACGGTCAATGACTGAAAATGGAATACTCTTTACAAAATAAAACGACTCAAAGCATGTTTATTCAAATTTTTGTGGTATTTTTACAATTGATGTGTGCCAACTACCAAGCATTGAGTCACCAATGCCATTTCACTTTTTCTGACATACAAATCTCATAAAAACCCTCAAAAAAAATATCTTTATGATGTACACAGCTTTCAATACAATTATTAATAAATATTATTTTTCATTTTAAATTAATTCTCTTATGATTCACACTAACTTTGGGAACGTTATTTCACATGATATAAAATTTTTCACATTTATTACTATAAATTTATTATTTGCATTCTCTCGTCACTTCATTAACCAATATGTTTTTAAACCCTAAACCCATACTATTTTCTCCAAATATTGCAACTCAAACTTCCTAATGAAACTTGTTTCGATAATATTAGTGAAATTAAATTTAATTGTTCCCCTTTCTTCCCTGGGCCTAGGCCACCTATTTTCATAATATCGTAAACTTGCTTTAAATCATTTACTGTTCTTCTAATTTTTCTCTACTAAGGTTGGACCACCTAATCTCTTAAGTACAATCGGCTCACCAACATCACTTGTTGGACTAATATGACTTGTATTCAATTGCACTACACCTCCTTTTACAACTTATCAATCAATTAATTCTCTAACAAATTTCAACCTATTGCATTTTTTCGCACCCATATCACAATGTCTATTTATCACAACATCCATAAATCATCCTATCATTAACATTATCTTATCAATCATATTATGTCATGTATAAACTTTTACCATCCTTCAATCATTGCGGACAAATCAAATTAGTTAACAATCAATCCACATTATTCCACATGATTATCTCTCGTTTAAGAAACAATATGCCACAAACGAATGTAACAACATTGATATACAATGAAATCACATCACATTTTACATTATTTTTCAGTAAACACATTTTCACTATTTTGTTCACAAAATTTGTCAACCATATCTTATGAGTCACATTGGATCAACTTCAAATTTGTCAATCCAATTCATACCTGGTGCACTAACAATTTATGATTTTATTTGTTTATAAACACTTGGGGTAAATGCATTCGCTCCATTATTTATCTGAATTCAACATAAAGTATCTCTCATTTCTCAAATCTCTCAAATAAACCTCAATGCATACAACAAACTACTCAACAATTATATTTTTTCATCTAATATATCATAAATACAAAATTTATTTGCTTAACACACTAATATAATCCTTATTCTACCAACAATTTATATCGAAATTTCGAAATACACCACATGGATATCTTTTAATATGTTTCAAAAGAGACGTATATTTCATTCAAACTCAATCTTAACATTTCACTGTCAAAGATTACAAATCATTATTCAACTTCAATCCTTCTATCAATTTACTTAACAACATGAACTTATAGAAAAAATAAAAACACTAACTAATTATGCATCCAAAGCGTATTATACCATGCACTGTAATCCTCAACCAAAAAAAAACCTAACAAAAGTGGAATCTAATGCTAAACTAATCAAAAACCCCAAAGCTCGAACTTACCAAAACGAAGAGTACAAACCGATGACCGAAATTTAGCTACCAAAAGACGAATTTCATGCTAAACACATGAAAAATCACCAAATCTAAAAGTGACAAAAACGAATATCAACACATTTACAAAATACACCAACTAAACAAAGCCAATCATATACCAAACTCTGTTTTTTCGTATCACAACTCGAGTAAAGGTTTGTGAAAGGTGACACTTACTCGTTTTACAAACAATAAGTCACACACAGCTAACCAACCATTGCCGTGACTTGCTTCGTCGGAGAAGAAGACGGATTTGTTGGAATAATCGAAACATGCAATTTGAATCCTCGAAAATTCATATATATCACTTAAGAGCATCTCCAAGTGAGTATGATAAGCAACAATATATGTTAACAACTCCTATTAGAATATGATAACATGACGATTCTTAAATAAACAAAATTATTTAAAACAAAAAATCACTCTTAAAATTTTAAAAACAGCCATGTATCTTTATTCCTTTACCCAGGAATCCAAAACTAATTACTAGTTATATATATATATATTCAATATTTTTTTTCATAATTATGTAATTTATTTGCTTTTAATATTTAATATTTTTTATATACATTAAATTAATGATATAAATTTTATTATTAAAACTTTATATATTAAAATATTATTTATTATGTTTAATTAAATTAATATTTAATTATAATAATTATATTAATTTTTGAAGTTGTCAATAAAAAAAAATTATAAAAGATTATAAAAGTATGGATTGTTTATATCATAAAAAGTGAATTAATTAAGAATGATGTGAAGTGAATTAAGAATGATGTGAGATAAGTAAAATAATGAGATGGTCTAATAAAAATCCTTTTCATGGCTTTTCAACGATTAAGTAAGGTTAGAGATTCGAATCCTGACTTGTGTATGCAACCGCATTAAATATTGGAACCAGTTATCTCATCCTTTGAAGTACCTCTAAAGTAGAGGAGAAATTAATCGCGTTAAATATTAGAACCAGTTATCCCATCCTTTGAGGTACCTCCAAAGTAGCGAGGAAATTAATCACTGTTATCGGTGATGGATACTTCAAAAAAAAATATATCGAAAGACATTTAGAGCAAAACTTTAGCATATATATAGTTATTATTCAATATTTTCTTAATTTGGTACATATGGTTGGTTGGTAGATTTCAACTTGTAGTTGAATTTCCTGTTCTCCCCAGCACATATATACCATACAAAATGTAGAGGAAAAAAGCTCACTTGCAATTACAAATACCGCCATGCATATCTAGTCAAGAGATTAACCTTAGTGGTTATTATTTTATATTTAGCTCCAAAGCATATTCTAGCCATATGTGCATCTTATGTGTAATACTCTTCACTCCATGGTGCTGGTGGATGCAGGTGCAAAATGGAGAAGCTGCTTGGAATGAAGCCATGGCTTCACCACCACCACAGAGGTGAACATTTTGCCAACCCCATTATGAGTAGTAGCAGATATCTTCAAATAGTACTTCATCCCTGACACCACTTGTTGCTGCGCCTCCACCACCTCTGAGAACTTCAACTCATGCTCTCTCCCATTTTTGTTCTCCCACTGTTTCAAACCACGGTTGAACTCCTCCACCGCGAACCTCCCAAGCTCTTGCACTTCCCTGTTTGTTCTCACGTCAGCGATCTCCGTCTTCCCTCCAACCATTCGAGCACACGATGCAGAAGAGAGGACAGAGAGCAAGGTCATCACCACCAGAATCGTCACAGTCATCGCCATCATTAACGAAGTCAAACCCTTGTTTAAAGTTTACTCAACTTTATGTTACACGTAACTAATAGAAAGTATAGTACTAAGCACGAACGAGGATGAAAGTTACTTGAATATGAGAGGTATATATATATATATATATATATAACTTTATATATTAAAATATTATTTATTATGTTTAATTAAATTAATATTTAATTATAATAATTATATTAATTTTTGAAGTTGTCAATAAAAAAAAATTATAAAAGATTATAAAAGTATGGATTGTTTATATCATAAAAAGTGAATTAATTAAGAATGATGTGAAGTGAATTAAGAATGATGTGAGATAAGTAAAATAATGAGATGGTCTAATAAAAATCCTTTTCATGGCTTTTCAACGATTAAGTAAGGTTAGAGATTCGAATCCTGACTTGTGTATGCAACCGCATTAAATATTGGAACCAGTTATCTCATCCTTTGAAGTACCTCTAAAGTAGAGGAGAAATTAATCGCGTTAAATATTAGAACCAGTTATCCCATCCTTTGAGGTACCTCCAAAGTAGCGAGGAAATTAATCACTGTTATCGGTGATGGATACTTCAAAAAAAAATATATCGAAAGACATTTAGAGCAAAACTTTAGCATATATATAGTTATTATTCAATATTTTCTTAATTTGGTACATATGGTTGGTTGGTAGATTTCAACTTGTAGTTGAATTTCCTGTTCTCCCCAGCACATATATACCATACAAAATGTAGAGGAAAAAAGCTCACTTGCAATTACAAATACCGCCATGCATATCTAGTCAAGAGATTAACCTTAGTGGTTATTATTTTATATTTAGCTCCAAAGCATATTCTAGCCATATGTGCATCTTATGTGTAATACTCTTCACTCCATGGTGCTGGTGGATGCAGGTGCAAAATGGAGAAGCTGCTTGGAATGAAGCCATGGCTTCACCACCACCACAGAGGTGAACATTTTGCCAACCCCATTATGAGTAGTAGCAGATATCTTCAAATAGTACTTCATCCCTGACACCACTTGTTGCTGCGCCTCCACCACCTCTGAGAACTTCAACTCATGCTCTCTCCCATTTTTGTTCTCCCACTGTTTCAAACCACGGTTGAACTCCTCCACCGCGAACCTCCCAAGCTCTTGCACTTCCCTGTTTGTTCTCACGTCAGCGATCTCCGTCTTCCCTCCAACCATTCGAGCACACGATGCAGAAGAGAGGACAGAGAGCAAGGTCATCACCACCAGAATCGTCACAGTCATCGCCATCATTAACGAAGTCAAACCCTTGTTTAAAGTTTACTCAACTTTATGTTACACGTAACTAATAGAAAGTATAGTACTAAGCACGAACGAGGATGAAAGTTACTTGAATATGAGAGGTATATATATATATATATATATATAATGTGGTGT